GTTAATTTAATATTTAAGATATGTAAGTAAGTCTTTAAGAAGTGTGTGTGTTTGTGTGCGTGCTTGTGTCCTGGTTAATGTTATTTTTAGGTCTAAACTCGTCCGTAAATTATAAAAACATGTTGGATATTGCTAAAGGAGTTTGGACCACCGTTCCATATTGTCTTAATATTTATTTTGTGAAATAATACATGGCATTTTTTGTATGCAGAGCTATGAGATGCTGCGGCCGCGGTTCCCGGGCGTGGTGTCAGTGCTGCGCGCCATACCCGATGTGGACGCGCACGACCTGCAACGTCTGGACGACAAGCTCGCCGCGCACCACACCAAGCCGCCCAAGATCGACAAGAGCAAACGAGATCTATTCAAGAAGATCACCTCCAGAGTCAGTCATATGCTTTGTGCATAGAAAAGTCAAACAAATTCATATATAGAAAATTACGTTACACCATTTGAGACAAAGATGAATTTTAAAATATATCAGCAACCAGTTCTAGTTTCATTCTACTTGAGGAATATGTTTGTCTAAGCTCCAAGCAAATAAAAGTTCTAGATATCTCTAATATCATAGATTTTTTTTAAATCGGTCACTGGGTTTTAATATAATCGAAACAAAGAAATGTCCTCACTCAGTTTTAATAATGTTTGTTTCAGTTAATCGGACGGAATGTGGGGCAGCTATTCAAAAAAGAAGTTTTCATCCTCGATCTTCCTACGATGCACGTGGCCAAGGAGAAGGCGCGCAGTGCCCTCGACGCCCCCGAGGGCGCGGGCCTAGAATCCCTGTTCGCCCCGCGAGCGCCCACATAGCGACCGTCCCCAACTTACCTCATCTCTATATGTAAATTGTTACTCGCATTCGCTTTGTGACCGCTTCACATAAATAGGAAATATATTCTAGTTTCCACTGACGAAATACTTGTACAAAACATACTGTTGTCTTTGTTTTTTCAATGAGGATTTGAGGGACGACAATGTGTTTTTGTGTTTCGGGAACTCACGATGAGGTTGTTACTACCAGAAATGTGCTGTATATTAGGTTTAAAATATTTGTTCTTATCTGACAGAGGTGTTGAGTGTTTTTTTTTGCCCGAGTGGCTTAGAAATGAAATTGTGTTTTGGCATGTGTGTATATTTGAAAATAATTTTGCAGGGAAATGCACATTTCTGGTCTAACCTTATATTGTCCATATAATCATTAAAAAATAAGTTGGCCATTATACTAGTTGAGAAATATTCTAGAAACTATTCAATAAAATGGTTTGAGTCGGTGAAAAGGAAGATTCGTATGCGCTTAATAAATTTTAATATATATAACGATTAGCAGTGAAATGACTATTTCAAACCTAGAAGATGTTAATCTCGTCAGATTTCTATCTCTGAAGTTAGCTGTAATACACTGTATTCGAAATACACGGGACGACAATATAAACGAAAGTAAAAGTGTGAAAGAGACGGAGAATGATTTCCGACAGATTAGAGTGAGATGGACACATGGGAAGACCAAATGCATGAAAGAGAGGAATGTATGTCTAATTCGTCAGTTTTTAACTGAACAGAAAAACTTCAGGGATTTTAGAATAGTGATGCGTATTTTAACGTCACATTTACTCGTAGAAAATGTATGTGTTTGAATGATATTTCTTATTAAATGTATGTTGTATGATGTGTAATCAATTTGTAAGGGCCGTGGTGTTTGTGGTCGCTTGAATGTAGATAATGGAGTATGGCCTAGTTCCTTGCAATGCGGCTCGTGGGCCCACATTAGTACTATATCGTAATATTTGTACGGAATTTTTTTTGTGAATATATTAAAATATCGATTTGTTTTTTTAATGATAAAATGTGTCGTTAATTAATGTACGTTTTTATACTTACAAGGAATTTAATTTAAAAACATTATTGCATATATGTTTTTGTAAACAGACTTGGGATGCACGATGTTTATAACACAATAAATGATTAATATATCATTTTTTATATGTTAATAATGTTAAAATTCTTATTGAAGAAAATTTTAATTTGCAAACTTTTTTGTTCTGATTTTTTTTTTGGTAGTGTGACATATATTTTCTTTGTCGGCATTTATGCAAAAATAGATAAAATAATTCCTGATATAGTGGATAAATTATTGCTTTCTGTTAGTATCGTTTGTTTAAAAAAATCGTGCAGCCCTAAATACTAATCAGTCATCGTAAATAGAATTTTAACATTTCTACAAGCCTGTGTATGTATACACGTGGCGCCCCCCGGCGCCGGCCATATACTACTCGCAATGTTCTACTGTGAATAACCGTTTATATGTTATTAAATTATATTATAAAAGTGTCGTTTTTTACTCTCAATCCCACACTCAGTAACTAAAACCATTGAGAATTGCATGGTTTTTATTAAATTCGTCCTTTTGGGTAGTTATTGTTTGATAGCGTATTTGACCGAATTAGTCGAATCTGTGTAGAAATTTGCTGGAATTTTTTGGAGGATTGGAGAATAAGGCGGTAATAAATGGATTATTATGATATTCAAAATAAAAACCGAATTAAAAATGAAATAAATAAGTATATTTATAAAATTCACTTTTCGTAAGTATACATCATTTGTAAGCCGACATCTACATTAGTTCCGTTGCTAACGAGTTCAACTTTATTGTTTGCGATGTCAACTTTCAGTACGGAGCCGTTGTCAAGAGCAACGCATCTACCCTCATGTTCCCCAACCACGGGGATCTTCCTCGGACCTAATACAGGATCTTTGTAACGCCAGAGCTTCAAACCAGAGATATCTGTAAAATTAAAAAAATCAGTTAAAATGTTATAAGGTTTATTGATTAATTAACAATAGTTTTGTGTATCTTAAAAATATTAATAAATAACCAAGTTGTCATGAAATTGTAAAACCCCTAAAAATTAAGCTACACAGAAGCTACTTGAAGTAAGATTTTTTAAACTATATCAAATAATTTATTACACAATTCAATAAAGAAAACTTTTACTATACTACTACTACTATATTTCAACCAAAAAATTAGGTCTTTGATAATTACCTTTTATCAGTTTGACCTCCTTAGCGATTTTGTTTTTGACTTTATCTACGGTGTCGCCGTCGGCCAGAGACACGGTGACAGTGAAGAGGCCGTTCATCGGCGTGGGGTTGAGGAAGCTGACGTCGAGGCCGGGCTCCGCGGTGAAGGTGACGTGCGGAGCGCCCGGGGCGCAGTCCTCGCGCGTCTTCTCGGGCGCGTCCGCACTGTCCGTATATTTTACTTCGATCGTGTCTAACTGTAGAACAATAACAGTAGGTCTTTATTAATAAAAAGTAAAAAAAGTAACTTTTAATCCCCCAACAAAGAATTTAATTCCTAAAAATATATAATTGCGAAACAAAAAAATAAATTGTGAAATCTGTTTTCTTAAACAAGGGTTATAAAGGCGACTATTGAAATCTAAGAATATTAAAAGATAAATTGTATACTCACATCCAAAGTGCTAAGTAAATATTGTCTATTGTCATTCAAGATGGCGGCCTCGTCGAAGGGCAGCGCCACAGACAAGGCGTCTACACCGACGCGCTCTACATTCTCTCTGGTGGCCTGCACGAATGGCATCACGCGCTTCATGTACTTTTTGAGCTCGCCGATTTCTGACAACTTGCTCGATATGCTCTTGTTGTCTGGAAGACCTGATGGCTAATACAATTTTATTAGGTTAATTATTTTCTACAGTTAGATATCTCACGTAATGATACTATAATATAATTAATTATTTTAAATAGGAACTTTGGTATGCGAGAAACCTATGTAAGCGACAAAATTATTCTGGTCCCTTGGACTCTCACTTTTCCAGGTTCGATTGTATTTAAATCAGATAAACAACAAGCTTAATTGTTAATAACAATTCCTTTCAATGTGTAATATGCCAGGGATCTAAGCAAATTAAGAAGAAAATATAGAAAATTATAAAAATAAATAAATACCCCATTAAGTTGTTTCAAAGTGCTCAATATGATGTGTTGCCATTTAGGATATTCTTTAGCCACCCATATCACAGCCTTGGTCGGCTTCTTCTCGGGCTTCGGCGCTTCACTTTTCTTTGGCTTTTTGACAGCGCAATGATTCTTCAAGTAGATGCGGAAAGAATGCGCAGCTTCCATCAGATATTCACTGGCCTTCACCGCAACCTCATCTATCTCACCGGCCACTGGCCAACGAGAGTGGAGAATACTTTGTTTCTGAAATACATTAACAAATAAATAAAGAAAAAAAAGTATTACAAAAAAGATGCTTGTATGAGTAGACACCAAAAGGGAAAATATGAATCAAATGATATTTTACTTTGCAAAATTTGGTCGAATTATTGCAAAAAAAATTATGCTGTCAGCGTTTGATAGAAAGCTTGTAAATTAGACAGAATACTCACATTACCCAGTAGTTGCCATACATGTTCTGCAACATGTGGACATATGGGCGACATCAGCTTAGCCTGTACTTCTATATACAGGGTGACCACATCCCCGTGCATCAAGCTGTCAGAACACAACTCCCTGTATTTATCTCTGGCTGCTTGAAGTTCAAAGAAGCCAGTCTTTAGAGCTTCCTTGAATAACATCTTGTTATAGTTCTCGTCCGTTTCGTTGATCTTAGCGTTCATTTCACTTACGAACACTTTATCATGGAAATTGTATTCCCCTGTAAATATAATTTTGAAAATATTCAAAAATCAAACTTAGAATCTAGGGTCAAGCCAAATACTACGCTTACAAAAAGGGTTCTATATTCAAATAAATTTAAGAACAGCTTTTTTAGCATGTCATATAATTTTTATTTAGCAGACGACGTCCGAAATATGGTGCTAAAGGCTTTATAGATATTAATTAAGTGTAAATATTTTTTGTTTGTTATATATTGTTATTGTTATTATCATTGCTTTTTTTTAATTTTATATCGCTTGCTTGTATAGTTTACTGTATTTTTGTAAATAGCTCCTAAGTTGATTGATTATGTGTTTGTTGATTATGGGACTGACATGTTCAAAAGAACAAAAGTCCCTAAAAAAATAAAGGCGAAAAAGAAAAAAAAATAATTTTTATGTAATTTCAAATATCAGTCACAAAGACTTTGTATTTACAAATCATATATAAAATGAACTAACCTGTTCGCAGCGTCGACTTAGCAGCGATAACTTCTTTAACCCATTCAATAAATGTATAAAGCCTGAGTATAGCTGCATCTGCAGTACTCTCCACAAAGTTAGCATCCTCCACAGAATCTCCGGCATCTGCTAATGTCAATCTCATTCCATCCGCACTGAACTTCTCTATAGACTCAGATAATGTCAGGAAGTTTCCTTCAGACTTTGACATCTTTGCAGAATTCAACATCAAGTGACCGTTGGCTCTTATACCCTTAGGCCACTTGTCTTCTTCATTAGGCCAGATCGCACAATGGTTGTAGATGTAATAAGTTAAATGGTTTTGTATTAAATCCTTGCCAGACACTCTTAGGTCGACGGGATACCTGTACACAGAATTTAAGTAACCTAAATTAATTATCTAAAGACATCACAAAGACGGGCACAAAACAAAAGAATAAAATCTGAATGTTTATCAAGTTAAAAATAGGAGAAAATGTTTTTTTGTTGTTAAAGAAACAACCATATTGTGCTAAATGTTTGATTTAAAGTTGTATTTCTTATGAGATATGAATACATTATTAAGATAGAGCATCAAAGGCTGAACTCAACAGCTACTTTTAATTTTTTTTTAAAGACTTATTTTATACATATATTGGGCTTTTCAAATATTAACTTACCAAAATTGGAAGGATTTCTTCATGAGGTCCAAAGAATCTTTAGGTATCTTAGATTTCTTTGGTGCTGGTGCATCTTTGAAGAATATATAATCCCACACCTCAGGTGTCATGTCTTCTGGTTTAATCTTAAGAGCATTCTCACCGGTGCCACTGAAGGTACCACCTTGCAGGAAGTGAGATATTGTGTAGTATGCATTGTATATTGTTGAATCTGATAAAGACTCTATCACCCATTGCTGATCCCAGGGTAATTTCGTTCCTAGAATCCAAAAGTGAAAAATTTACAAAATGATGGCAACTTATAAATTAAAAAAAAAACAATAGGGTCAAAGAATATAAAAATTGTTAAGTAAATGTAAGCTAAAATCTTGATAAGGAATTTAATATCATACCTAAGCCATAGGTCCTAGAGCATGCATATTCATGCAGCCAATTCAGTGTGGCTTGGAAATTTTTTCTGACCTCATCATGATAAGTGTTCATTGCCGCTAAAGCTTTCTCCGCTTGAGCCTTCCATTCCTCCTCCCCATAGACGAGATACCATTGATTACACAGTGCTACAACACATTCATCACCAGATCTTGAAATAATTGTCTTCTCCGGTTCGTAGTACACTACCGCACCATTTTCTTTTATCAATTTAGCTTGTAAATTCTTTTTAACATCTTGAATCTTACTTCCTTTGTATTCACCAACTAAAAGAACTCCATCATAGAAACCTTTTAAGTAAACCATTTCTTTCGCTTGTGTCAACTTTTCCTTGTCATTCTGACTTTGTATCTTTAATTTATCATAAACATGCACAGCGGACAAATTCCCGTATTCTGGAATTTCAAGAATTGGTACCGGTTTGTAAGGAAGTATCATATCATCTTGAATACCATATTTCTCTCTGAATGCTGGCTTCTTCTGAAGGTCTACTAATGCGGCATAATCGTCTGGAGAATCTGACGGAACACTGGTAACAATTCCAGTACCTTTATCTTCTTTGATTGTTAACATTGGTAGTGAGTATATCTTTGGATAGCAAGTCAATGGGGATTTTAGTGCAATTCCTAATAAATCTTGTCCTAAAATTTCCATTTCTATTTTAAACTCCCCATCCTTTTCAGTGAAACCTTGATAGGACATATTTCTAGCCGCACGTCTTGTACATATAAATACACCGTCATTTACAGTTTGAAATGCAATATATTTGATATCGGGATGAACCC